TATATATATATATATATATATATATATATATATATATATATATATGTATCTATGGAACATTGTGGACGATAATTGTAAATTGTAAAATTAATACCGTATTATACACTAAATAGTCAATAGTCAAATATCTATATCAGATAACTGAAGATACTTGATAATGTTCTTCTATTACCATCATATAAAAATTGTTCTTCAGTATCGGCATCTTAATGGATACATTATATCAAACTCCTCTGATAATTTTCTAATCCTGGCTTAATAATTTAGCGGAGAATCGAAACACTTCGGTTCGAATCCCAGCTTAATACTTTAATGAGTATTCGAAACACTTCAAATCCCGGCTTAATAATTTAGCGGAAATTCCCACATAGCACAAGATTTAAAAGATGTCCCAAAGACATCCAGAAGATTGCTAAATGTTTGCATAAGTTCTCAGAATATCCTAAAAATATTCCGAAGACTTCTAAATATCTACACAAGTTCCCAAGATATCCCTTCAAGATCTCATGCTATGAGGGATTCAAAGTATCTCGGTTTGAATCCCGGCTTAATAGTTTCCCAGTGAGAAATTATCGATCGATGTTGAATCGACGTCGATTCGACGTTTTTTCGACGTCTATCGGTAAGTCATTTCTCACTGGATTAACGGAGACTCGAAACACTTCGGTTCGAATCCCGGCTTAATAGTTTAACGGAGATACAAAACACCTCGGTGCAAACCGATTATAATATAATCGATAACTCTGGCCATTAAAATCAGGATGGTAGCTGCTCTCAGGCTTCTCTCTGGTTAAAAAGAATCACCTTGTGTCACTAACTCTTTGTCTCATTAACATATTCTAGTCCTAATGCTATGTTCGTTTTGGATACACATGCGTTGTAAGCGTCATTATATCTTTATCGCTCATTATATATGGAAAGAGGATTGCATAGCGCTTACAGCGCATAAGCTCAAAGCAAACGTACTTATATAGTTCAATATAGTAATATAGTTGAATGATTATCTTAAAGCCCATTCTACAATTGCGTAAGCGTGGTCATGAACGTAAGAATCAACCAATTAGAGTGTTTTATTTACTGACTGCTTTATTCTGATTGGTTGTCATAATCATCTACAACCATTTACAACTACATTTACACAATTGTAGAATGGCTTTAATCCCGAGCCACAATAGGTGTAGTAAGCTTTAAGTCTTACGAAATTGACCAATCACAATCGATTATTCTCCTCAAATTTGACTGTGATTGGTCAATTTCTTAAGGCTTAAAGCTACACTTATTATGGATCGGGTCTTAAGACTTTTGCCCGTATTCATAGTCAAGCCTTATATTTAAGGCTTCCTTAAGTAAGATGACCAGACGTCCCGATTTTTTCGGAATAGTCCCGATTTTTCACCCTTTGTCCCGAATTTTTTCGAATGTTATTCGGGACACTGATTTGTCATCATTTTCAATGATCGTTAAATAATTTTTAGATTTTTTTAATCCGCCTCCCCCCGTCCTTCGTTTCACATATTTATGAAATGTTCCGAATTCAAGGCTGGGAAATCTGGTCACCTAACCGTAAGTTCACCTTCAGATGCTCTACGGATCATTTTATTGGCTACAGAGCATCTGAAGATGAACTTAAGGAAGCCTTAAATATAAGACTTGACTATGAAAATGGGCATTTATCTTTTTATTGGTTATGTAACCAATAAAACGGCGGTGTTTCTTGTTAAACAGCATCAACGAATTTCACGAATTCAACTATAATTAGTTCAAAAATTGCAACTGTAAGGAACAATCCTATTGATCAACTGTGTTTTGTTCTATGTACTATTCTGTTTCTTTCTATACAACATAACCTAACAAGCTAAAAGAAGAATAAGAATATTGCTGAATTGGAATAGTGCTGAATAACTTGAGATATAAAATGTAAATTGCTAACAGAAAAGTCCATAACAATGAGTAAAGAAGGACGATTTTCTTCGCATGAGTTACAGCAATATCGCGAGCGGTTAATAAAACAGAAGGAATTTCTGACTGATATATTATCTAAAATTGAAAAACAAATACTCGCATTGCAGGTATGCTGTTAAAATGTAGACGTGCAATAAATGTGTGATCGAATCAAATACTTAATTTGCGATTTTAGTGCAATAAAAACATGTCAAACGTCAATATTATTTATAGGTTGAACGATTGCATTTGAGAAACAGTCTGTTTGGGGCAGAATGTACAGGTCAAGCAATATTACCAGATTCACCAGACAAATCAAGTAATGTGAAGATTGAACCAATGAATGATGTTAATCCACAAGATTTCAACAAACAACAGTTGGATTTATCTGTACCAATATCATACAATAATTTTGAAGAGGAAACTGAAGACGACGAAATGTCTGAAAATGAAAAAATAATAGAGAAGAAACTTGACCTTATGGATTACTAAATAAACTAATACTAAATTTCTACTTGCTGATTAATACTATAAGGAAACCAAGTTTTAACTCCTAAACTTACATACCTTGTTAAGATGACATTAATGTTAATTTATATGCACAGGGAGATGTTAAAATAAACTCACAATTATCCTATAAGATTATATGATGTTCATGTATTAACTTTCCTCATACTTCATAAGTATTTACAAAACATTTTTACAAAGGATCATGTTTGACATTCTAATAGAATTTAAAAAAGCACAGAAATGGAAAATAACAGATTTGTCTTTAGATCTAAAGTTTCTGTGGTCATAAATTTAATGCTGGCAGAACGAGATACTTAAAAACCTTTTAAAGTAAAGCTTGTCTAACACAATTACTTGTAAATTTTATTCTAACTTCAAAAGAACCTAAACAATGCAGTTGAACATTATGATGGATAACTTTGTTGTGGTTGAGCGAGTTGCGATGGATCATCCAATGCTGCAGGTTTAAATTGTTCAGCGGAAAGACGTGTAATGAAAATTCCTATACCCTCTATCAAAGCCAACAGTACTCCACCAATGATTGCGCTGCCTGCCATTGCTGGCAAGCCATTTCTTGCTGCTAAAATTCCACCAGTTGCTGCTCCACTGATAATTGAATTCCAAGGATCTTCTTTTTTTCTGAAGTGTACTAATGTGCAGTCAATTGTGGAGAACATCCCACCCCATACAGCAAAATTTCCACCAACAATGGGTGCTCGTTGCCTGACTGCCACAAGACTGCTACGATAACGCTGTGCCAATCCACTAGGAGCATTACGGAAACCTTTGATACTTTGGAAGATTGTGCCACCTATAAGACCCATAGTGAAGGCACCACCACAATCATCCACTATACGCCAGGGACATGGTTCTCTTGCATATTCCTCCATATTTTAGAAATCTGTTGTAAATAATAAAATATTAATTTATTTGTTAGGAAATTATTCAGATAATGTGCTGTTAAAACTTTCACAAAATAACATGACGCTGAGACAAAAATATCAGGAAACTACTGCAAACGTGTTATTAATTTATACTTATGTATCATCCTCGAGATTAACTTCAAACTAAGTATGAAAAAAAATTTGCTACAGAATAACAAATTTGCTGACAAATAAAAGCAAGTAATATTTAATTTATATCAGAGATTTTATATAACATTTTATATGATGCATTACATAGACATGCACATTTACACACATCGGAAAACATTTATGAAAGATATCGTGGAGTTACGAAATAAGAGAGTGAGGTTAAAAGCAGCGTCTCACACAATTTTAAAACTAAATTACGCATAACAACTAAAATATTTCGTCACATGTCCACGGTAAATTTATCCTTTATACATAAAACAGCTTACCCCCGATATTTACCGTGTAATTAATAAAATATTTGTAAATAATCGAAGCACAAGAGGTGTCGCACGTAGCACGAGAAAAGACAAATCTAGGTACAAGAGAACTAGGTAAGATTTATTAAATATTTGCAGGCATTCCAACTATACAATTGGTCTGTTCTTTGGTCTGTTCTTTTTAGCTGCACAACTGCTAAACTGATGCAATAAGTTAGAGTGAGAAAACATATACTTGTCTCACTTTAACTTATTGCATCAGTTCAGCAGTGCGCTGAAAAGAACAGACCACTCTTTAACTGAACTGGGCCCCTATTCTTGAAATTTTTGCCTTATTTGCCCTGGGCCCTATTCTTGAAATACATAATTTTCATTGCGCAGCTATTTTATGGTATGATTAAACCTGCGTAGTAAAACTTACGTATACGCAACTATTTCAAGAATAAGGCTGAGTTCCCACTGAGCGCGTCACACACACGTCGTCTGCCTACGACACGAGTTAACCAATCAAATCCTCTAATTGAGATGACGCGACGCGCGACGCACGACGCACTTGTTCCAATGAAACGATTTGATTGGTAAATTTATCCTTTACACATAAAACAGCTTACCCTCGATATTTACCGTGTAATTAATAAGATATTTGTAAATAGTCGAAACACAAGAGCTGTCGCACATAGCACAAGAAAAGACAAATCTAGATAAAAAAGAGAGAACTAGATAAGATTTATTAAATATTTATTAAATAGTTTGTGGGAACTCAGCCTAAGGCCCGATCTACAATAGATGGCGTAAGGAGTAGGAGAAGAAGTAAGAAATAAGCAGTAAATAAACAAATCACAATCGATTATTTTTGAAACGTAAGAATGGAATTGGTCAATTTGCTTACTGCTTACGTCTTACTACTTAAGTTCTTTTGTGTGCCATGGCCCTAATGGCTCCTGCACACAGAATGCGGTAATGCTTGCCGCGCGGCGAAAGTTTGCGCGACAGCCAATCAATATGCTGCTTTCCGTAATAACCTTCTAGTTCTTACAGAAAAACAACATATTGATTGGCGCGCAGCAAGCATTACCACATCCTGTGTGCAGGAGCCATAAGCGTCTACAGGAGCCAAGGACAAATTTTGATTTTAGCAGAAAGAAGCCTGAGAGCGGCACCAGCCTGATTTTAGTGGCCAGAGCTAGGCGCTCGCGACGCCATCTAACAAAGTGCCTTTACTACGTTCGTTAGTGTCGGTCTACAACTTCACTTTAAGCTTTAAGCCTTAAGCAACTGACCAACCACAATCAATTATTCTCCTTACATCTCAAGAATAATCGATTGTGATTGGTCAGTTGCTTACGACTTAAAGCTTAGAGCGAGATTGTAGACTGACACTTAGGCGCAGTTGTAATAATGGGCGCGTTCAGCAGACACAACAGTGATTCGTAAACGTAATTGGTCTAAATAGAGGGAGCCAACAGAAATAGTAATATAAAACAATAAATAAATATATAAGCTTAAACATGCCGCTCATATTTATTGTTTATTTCTCGGCAACTACAAAAGATATCGATGTGATTCAAAGAAAACAAGGTTCTCTACAATTTATCCTGTTAGAATTCAGAATTTACAATAATACCCATAATACTAATATAATCTATAATAATACTATGAATAACGGTTCGTTAAATAAAGCGTGGAAGCATGCGTACTTTTCGAAAGGCTGTCGCTGACAGCCTTTTTACTACCGATTACATTTTTCGTACATTTCTCGGCAACACCCAGATAGCCAAATCTGCTCGAGCAAATTTTGCCCAACACTTGATTACAAATTTTGCTGCCAAAATGTCATCAAATTGGACACATCTGTTAAATCAAAGGTTGTTGGCAAATTGGCGCCAAATACCGAGCAAGGTAATACTGCACTGCGTCATGACACTGTGCGCATATTTTTTACTTTCTATATCAAGTAGCATAAAATCAACATAATACTTGCATAACGTGCTGAACTCAGCGTGCACTAACGTGCTAGCATACTTGGTTATCAGAGTATAATGAATATTTCGCGAATCATTACTTGAAGTACTCCGAGAATTTATAAGAAATTACTGTTATTATTTAATCTTATTTATATTTTATCGTACACATACATTAGACAGATGCTCCAACGTTTATAATAAACTTTAATTTTTATTGATTTATACATAAATTTAATTAATTTAATTAAATCTTATTTTTGTTTTTTTAATTGTACTATTTTACTTTTTATTTTTAATTGTACTATTTTTTTATTTTTCTTTTTTTAATTACTATTTTATAATTATCCAAAGTTTATAACCTTTTATGATTTTGTCTATTTAATAACTGTTAACAAGCAAAAAATGTTTATAAAAATTTAAAGATAACGATATGGAACGTATAAGATTTTATAGATTTTATAGATCTCACCTCATTAGCTAAAAATTAACTTAACAATAAAATTACAAAAAATATAATTTTTATTAAAATTAAATTATTTTATTAAATCGTATTATCAGAAAATTATATTACTGTGTTAATGAAATTACATACAGACAAAATGTAAGACGTTTATATCGATCGACGAAATAGTGTAGTGTCTAAAGGAACAGACTCATAATCCAGATAATACCTCAGAGGTTCGAGTCTCACCAGTGCTAATAAAAATTTTTAAATGTAATGTAACATTGGAATCAAGTAATCTAAAATTTTCAAGTAAAATCCAACAAACGCTGTAACATTTACAAATAGTTTGTATTAGAAAAAAGTAATACATATCATATATAAAAAAATTTATAATGTATACATCTGCTGTTCCATAAGTAATTTAAAATGAATATTTTTAGAAGTTTATGACGGCAAATCCTGCTCGATTTTTGCTGCGTTTTTACTGTCATGTCGTAAGAGCAAATTCTACTCAATTTCTGCCATGTTTCTGCTGTCACGTCGTGATGGCAGACCGTGCTCCAATTTTGCCGCGTTTCTGTTGTCACGTTGTGATGGCACGTCTTGCTCGATTTTTGCTAGGTTTTTGCTGTCACGCCATGAAAACACGATGTATGTAAGTTTTGTTACACTTCTACTGACACTTAGTGTTAGCAAAATATATTCGAATTTTACTGCATTTTTTTTTTATATTACCAGACCGTGTTGTCAAAAACTAAGCTTAATGCAGACGCAGTGAATCGAAATCTGCTGAAAAAGCATGACCGAATTTGTTAGCACTGTGCTGACACAGTGCTATCATTTGGCTATCTGGGCAAGTGTTTTTTATAGGAAACACAATTGTTTATAGGTTTATAGGTTATTTATTAAATTAATTAACTGTATTGCAATTTTTTATTACAAGACATTAATCGCAATCCAACATACACTTGCGATCGCTCGCATTAGCGCAAAATCGATATAATACTGACGTTTCACGCGCATTTTCGAATTGCTATAATCTGCTGAATGTATCTATATACACTACATAACATGCTACATAGTAAACCTGATCGCATATGCTTTATCAATATCGCCATTTGAACGTCTCAGCTAGACGAATGTTATAAAACCGATTTAGAGTCCCAAGAATTTACTCTTTGGTATAAAAGAACACTACCACCGTCACACTATAATAGTCTCTTCGAGTCGTAACAAGAGTCTAGCCTGATTGTTTCTCTAATCTTTAATAGAACAAATTCGGTTAGACTTACTAAGATTTTAATATAAAGGTTATCATACGCAAATTTAACAGAATACATTCGCATGACTATAAAGAGCCTTGATCCCTTGAAATAGCCAGCATATGCCTTTATGCCAATTTATGTATGATCTTCAGTACGCATCAATATGTATTAGTACATCCAACCGAATACGATATTATTGTTAGGATAGATGTGTCAACGAATGATACGTTGTCTTCTTTTGAACTTTCTTTCTTATGCTTCTATTACTCCAAAATGTAATTATGTGAGAGAAGTCTTCCGTTTAAAAAAAGAATTCAGTTATCCGATAAGATATTCTAACTAGCCATTCGCTGATGTATCTGCCCTAATCAATATGTTCATCTCATCGTACATTTAATAATAGCTTGTTAACATTTCCACGTTAACGTTATTAATTTATCATTATTATTTTTGCTCCTTTTTACGGTCTCTTTTTATAGCTTCTTTTTTTTATGACTCCTTGTCGAGTTTGCTTTCTTTTATTTTCTTTTTCTCCTTTCATCGTTTATTATACGCGCTCGACCTTACAAATGTCTCTGCTCTTCATAAATAAGCACTTGCAGAGTAAATATTTGATGCTACCCCGTAATTATTACAATAAATATTAATTAACTCCGTATGAATTAACGATACAAATGCAGATACGATATGACTAATTAATCGAATATGCTACAGACTATATGGTTATATAGGCTATTTCAAATCTCACAAACTATTAATGACAGATTCCTGGGAGAATTTTAACACAAAAATCCGTATACTAAAATGTCGAGGCTTGTCGATAGCTTTTTTTGCGTAGGACGCGTTTAAAAGTTGACCAATTGTTCAAAATATGCGATTCGAATATCCCGTACATAGCATAATAGTGCAAGTGGCCTAAAACGTCAATCATTCGTTGATCGTCACGTCGCTATTAATATAATACTGAATACGATGCGATTAAAATTATTTCTCGCATTAGTTTTAAACAGAAATAGCAAATTTCTAAGAAATCTACTAACGATTAGTTCATAATTGAACAGCTTGTATATCTCTTTTATCGATATCATTGTCGCTACATGCTGTTTGCTGTTTCGAGATTACGTTGTTATATATTTTCTTAAATTACAGAAAGAGTGAGAGAGAGAGAGAGAGAAATTGCGATGCCGGAATTCCTAAACACATTCTGAAAATAACTGTCTAGAGAAGACAAAGGCATTCATGACGTTCGAGCGCATCCGTGTACCTTTAATTTCGCCTAAAGTTTCTCGATATTGGCTTTCATATCCACGGAACTATACGATCAATTTATAATATGTATGTCTTGTATTGTCATCGTCGCGCGACCACGTTCGTTAACGTAGCGAAACTGTGAACCAGACAATCGCGCCGGGATGTATAAGGCCACCAATCTCGCAATTCACCGTACGGGTTTCCCCGTTAAGAACAAAGAGTGCCTGGTTGGAGGGGCTTACCATATATCGACCGAATATACCGCTTTGTATTATCGGTCTATTTGGGTTACCCCACTTGGTGAGGTGTGGTGGTGTTGCCTTTCCCACGCCCGTTATCATTTCCACTTTGCCTGTAACAGAAGAACGGGCTGGTTTCTGATCAAACGCAAATTTCACAAAACGCGCATGTCGATGGAGAATCTCGATAAAATATCGTAAAGTGTTCAATTTGGATATTGCTCTCACCAGTGGTTAAATCCAAAAAAAGGATATCTTCTTTATCCATCGACGAGGCGTATATATCGTAACTATGCGTTGTCTGCGACGGATAGAAAGCAATATCGCTGATATTTAACGTTGTTTTCACGTCGAATGCGAATTTTAGTCCGCTCGCTGCAAAAATTTAACGTAAAGACTCTTTGTGCGGAAGAACTTTAAAGCACGAATAATTGCAAAGTATATTACGTAGTATCTCCTGCACTACAAGAGTGACACCAGTGTCCTGCTTGTCGAGAGTAACCAGATATCTGGAATCAGGTGAAACTGCTGGTTTCCCCAAGATGTTCGGTTTATGAGCGAGAACACTGTCAGTGAGATAGTCCAATAGCACTTGACCAGTCGGATGTCCAGTGATCGGCTCCTCGCATTCTAGTACCACAAAGCCGTCTGAAACGAAAGAAATACTCATTGCTGAATAGATTTGAGAGCATTTGAAAAAAAAAATAGAAAAATCCGACAAGAATTGATAGAAATATATGCAAATTTCATTGAAATACTATGTGACTTTATCTGAACTTATCATTTCCAGAAATTTCAGAAATTTTAATTTTTCACGTTCCCTTGTATAAAAAAAATTGTCGATTTTTTCGTTTTATATCGTAACTTACTTTTAACGATTAAATTTATTTGACACATGTCTTTCTATGTAATTTTATCATTCTTTATCAAAAACACGATTACATCTTTCTATATATCTATACATATCTATATATATATTTATATAGATTTTTATCTAATTCCATCAAATCTTTTAAGCAGAAATGCTGAAGCGATAGAGGCATATTACATACACAGATCGGAAAATTCTACGCTCACTGGTACGCAGTTGTAGTCGGCCAAGTTCACGGTGCGCGTGTATCTCATATTAGCTAGGTCGAGTTTGTACATTCCACGTTGATTCGTATGACTCACGTAACCATACTTGAATGTGTGTTTCGTATCCTACGGAATAATAAGGATTACAAATGCATTTTACAAGTGCATGCATTATTGTACGTATAATTATTCAAATGTATCATATTACTTCACGTAAGACTCCTATTAATAATTATTACTCGAAATTTTAATAATTAATAATAATATTAAATATTAATAATTAAACTCGTCTCTCTAGTAAAATATAAAATTTGAATTTAAAGCTAGGTCCAAATTTTTCAGTGGAATTATAATATACATTTATATCTGTAATCGTGATTCAACTGAGAAACTCTCATTTAACTCTGAATTTAAATATCTCACTTGTGTGTGTATGAAATGAGTTTCAGGCAATAACTATTAATATGGAAATGCTTTGCTGAGTTTTTATAGTCACAGCCCATCCTACCGTTCCGTAATATTGAAAAACGAGGAGATGGAAGTAAAACAGCATACGTACACGTTGTTGCGGAATATATAGGCCTTTCACGAGATCAAACTGTGCATCGATTGGCTCAGGTCGCACTGTATGGTGTTTCTTTCGTTGGGCAGCTTCCTTGATCACTTGTACGGTTTTGATACCGACATCCATCTCGCTCCTCCAGTTTAATATCCAGACGTAGTCGAGATTTTGCACATACCACAGATCCACGGGATTCTTGTCCGTAGCCACCACCTGGATAATCATAATTATTATAACACATCTTTTGAATGCTATAAGTGTCGGTCTACAACCTCGCTTTAAGCTTTAAGTCGTAAGCAACTGACCAATCGCAATCGATTATTCTTGAGACGTAAGGAGAATAATTGACTGTGGTTGGTCAGTTGCTTAAGACTTAAAGCTTAAAGCGAGATTGTAGATCGACACTAACAGCAGAGAGACGACACGCACATCGATTATCATCATTTGCACCTCGCTGATTACCAGCACGCGATCTTTATCCGGTTGGCTGACGTATACGTATCGATTGGCGATATTTATGGCACGTCCCCAAGAACATGGGACATTTTTTGGCCCACAGACGTATTCCTGAAAATGTACAAAGTTGAGGTAAGAAGTCAACACATAAAATATGTAACAGGAAGAAGGAAACGAGTCCGACTTCGCACCTGGGTACCAGGTATGATGTCCGTGGATCGGATTTCGTGTAACGCGTGACACATGGAAGGCTCGTACACCAAGATACCCCACTCGTGGAAGGAGAAAAATCTACGTTCCTCTTCCGTTGCGACTGCAAGATCGTATAACCGCAACATTTTAATTGGATATTAAAAAAGCAAGACATTTTAATTGGATATTAAAAGCAAGACAGCATAAATAAGAATTACGCTAATACGATAATCCAATTGTGCAGATCCAATTATTCAGATAATTCAGAGTAAAACATCCAATTATTAGTCCCACCTAGTCATCCTAGATGTTCTAGAGAAACCTAATTTTTCTTGCGACCGAAATCGATTATTCACAGTTTTAGTTATGAAGTTCTCTTTTGGAATCAAAGTGCAGGGACAAGATTGCAATTTAACTGCAGTGCTGATTACAAGAAAATCCAGGTTTTTTTCTGTATTACGTCGGTATGTCAATAACTAAAGAGAGATTGGGTGTTTTGCCGTGATTGATAACTTATCATTAACGATTAATCATCTCAAATCAGCTATTAATTCTTTAGTCGTTCTTACTAGGTGTAGGTTGTTCTTGGATCACCAAGCTGCTAATGTCCCTCGTTAGTCCTCCAGCACTGACCGCTTCGCACATGTAGGCACCAGTGTCGGCGTAATCGACTTTTCTGATCAGCAACTTGGTGCCGTTCCCTACCACTTCATACTTGTCCGGCGGCTCCTCGCTAAGGGGTTTGTCATTCTTCAGCCATCGTACACGCGGGAGAGGCTCGCCTACTACGTGGCACCTCATCTTCGCCGTCCTCTTCGGCCGTTTCGACTGGAACTGCGGTGTCACTTGGACCTCGGGTATGGCTGCAACAGAGGCACATCTCCGAAATTGCACAAACCGCAGTTTAATTTTTCCGAGCAAGACACGATTCGAATTTTTGTCCTGTCTTCTGCACTGAGAGAAAAAAAATGCTTGAAGAAATATTTATTTGAAGGGAGTGGGTAAATATGTTACTAATAACATATTTACTTAAATCTAAAGTCTTTTATTTAAATGAGATAAACAATTGCTTTCATGAAAAGTTAAAATTTTTTTAAGATTTGAAAAAATGTGTTTTCTTATTTTTAAAAAATATTTTATATTAGTATAAGTACACGAAGAAAAAAAGATCTGCTACATACTAACATAATTTGCTGTATTTGCGACTTTTTCTTTACTACAGGAGCCAATTTCCTTGCTATGATAACAAGAGAATCTGCTACTGCAGCAAAAAAAGTAGCTAAAGCAGTAAATTACGTTTAGTTTAGTCCATCTATAGCAAATTCGCTACGTTAGCCGCTTTTCTTGTTGTAGGAGCAGACTTTCTTGTAGTCATAGCAAGAAAATAGGTTCCTGCAGCAAAGAAGAAGTATCTAACACAGCAAATTATATTTAACTGTCCACATATAGCAAATTATTGTTTTCCGTGTACATCAGCATTCATCAAGTAAATGTTTTTTATTTCTCAGGTATTTTTTTATTCGCGATGTGGTGTGCCCCTCCCACCTCTCTCGCCAGAAAAACTTACTGTACACAGTGAGCATGTGAGTCTGCACCACGTCTTGGTTGCTGAGAGCGTGGCACGTGTAATTGCCGGCGTGTTCCAGTTGCACGTTCGTCAGATACAGACTGCCGTCGTTGAAGACGCGAATCTGCAAAGTGTCAGTTCACGATGTCTTGGCGCGAATAACGATCGGGCGGCAAAGGTCGCGTTCGATTAAGATACCTCCGGCTCGCTCAGGGTCTCCACGTCGGTGCCGTAACGACGCCAGACCAAGGGTGGCGGCGGTGTTCCGGTAACGTCACACTTAATCTCCACGTTGTCCCCGATTCGCGCGGATATGTGATTTACCTCCAGGGATTTATCCAGCGATACCACCGACACACCTGTATACAGATCAGACCGCCGGCATTTATTATGTGTGCGTTATACTTCGGCCGAATTGAATGGCGATCGTTCGCGGGGCGCGGTGTATACACACGCACGCACACACACACACACACACACACAAAGTTTGCATAATAATTCCTCGCGGTCGTTTATATGCGCGATGGCACTACGGCCACGTGTGCAGTCTGACAATTTACGGTGACGCTATTGTCCGATGGACAATGCGTCCTGACGAGACGCATTATTACGTAGATTACCATAAGAAAACTATCCGCGGGCGATTAATCGCCATGTCGAAACTGGACGTGATCGCGAAGATTACACTCTCATGTAAACACACGCAGAATGCGATGAAAACAAGAATACCTACCGCGTTCTGCGCAAGTAAATAATATTCATAGTGTTGCAGCATGTTTCTTCCGTCACAAATCTGTTTTCGTTTCATCACGATCGGCCCTGCCTCCACTGAACCATGCGTCCCGAAAAAAGTCAATGTTGTGATTCTCAGTAAAAAAAAATATGAAAAACTTCATCTCTTGGCAGTAAGAAAGTTTTTAATGAAAAATAGAATTCAAGCGCGCACCTTGTCCGCCAAATATTCGAGTTTAAGACACAACTAATCCCTAAATGTCACCTTTACGTTACGTAATGTAGAGAACATGTGAATTTAGCGGATTATATTTTCGTTTCTCGCGTATGTAAAATTTTCTATTTTTTACTTTATAAAAAATGCACGCGTATGGCGCCGTCATTATATCGGAATAAGTATGCAAATATGCCAGACTGGGTCACGTGGAACGATGATTGCACTAATTTGTATACATGCCATTAACATAATTATACTATATTCTAGCTGTCGTTGGCTCGCAAAGGGTAAATCCGCCATGATAAACGAGCGACGAATCGCAGATGGTACTCACTGTAAAGCTTGCTGAAGGCCATGTAGAACTCGTTAACGTTTAATCTGCCGTCACCGTCGGTGTCGTCGTAACTAATCATATGGCTCAAGTTACATCCCGCGCTCAGTTCCTCCATATTTTCTTCCTCGGCGATCTGAATGTTCGAGAGGAGTATCAATTAAGAGCATTACTTGTTGCCCGGATAATAGAAAAGAATCGCGCTAATGCCGTTTAAATAAAGGTTGTCGGATAAATCTCGTTGAGAATTCCCTCTCCTCCGGATTATTTCAACTCGAGGGGGAACGCTAATGAAGAAATACCCTATAGGGAAAGGTATATCACCTGCTCGAGCTCCTCCCGCTCCAAATTGCCGTCGTTGTTTCTGTCATAGTGAGAAAACATGATGCTGACCAAGTATTCCTTGCTGTGATTGTCCTCGGCCATTAATCTGGCATGACTATAGAGAAGCAAGTTGTCCTACGGCGAATAAACGAATTGAGATGTAGGAAGGGTGACAGGCTGACGCTTACGTAGGGGAAAACTTCCGGCACTCTGCCTGCTTCTCAGCATTCTTACGTTGACATTCTCAAATATTAAGATACGTGGGGATTTAAATAAATAAATAAATAAATAAATAATTAAATAAATAAATAAATAAATAAATAATAATTGATAAATAATTAATTTAAATTCCCGCACACTGCAGCACTTTATCAAATCTGAGCAGAAGTGCTGGAAACTGTCGAGCGTCATAACAAGTGCCGTCTATTGAATGTTTTGTAACGTCGTAATCGTTTTTCTCACAAAGTGCTCCTTCTTCGCACAAATGCGCCGGGACGTAGTCAAAGGACGTTATTGGAAATGAAGTCACGGACTTTCCATTTATGACAGCCCTTCCGTTTCCTCACCAAAATTATATTCAAATACACACATTCGGGGGAATATTAACGACAAATTGAGTCTGCTTGTAAATGCAAGGAGGCAAGGAGAGTGCTTTTCACACGAAGAGATTTTTGTTTCCGCGCGTCTCATATCGGAAATTATTATGGGACGCAATCGATGACATACTTTCATAATTTCGTATTCCTGCGCGCAACACTCTTCCGTACCGTGGCCGTCTTTCCGCGGAATCGATTTGCCCGCCGGATGATGCTTCATCTTATTTTTGGACTTGGCATATGAGATGTTCTTGCCTTTGGACGGGGCATGATACGCGAAGAAGTCCTTTCGCGCCTGAGCGCTGTAATTACCTGAAAACGACGAGACACACTCTATCGTGAAGCTCGGACTACTTTCACGTAGCAGCGACACCTCTTTTTCCTCGTCGCCGCTACAACTCCCCAACAAACCGGCCGGCAGTGAGATCATAAATTAATAGAAAACTCCCCCAAGTTATTATCGAGTTTCTAATGAAAGCAAAGCCCCCGCGACTCTTCGCGGAAGAGTCGCGGGGGTTTGTCCCAAAGTAAACAGCGAAATTAAAGACAGAAGTATCGACGAAGGTGTTTCGGCAATCCTCATTCCCGATAAGTCTCCGTAGGATCTCCGCGTCGCTCCGCGTCGTAAATTCCCTCGCGCGAATTAATTAACCGCTTAATTAAATTTTCCAGCAACGTTGAGACGCTTTGGCTGCGCCTCGACGTACGAACGAAACGCTCGTGCTAAGTCGGGAACTCTCTCTCTCGCTCCGTGAAACCGTTATCGACCACAGAGGGTTCACGACTTAAGCGCGGGGCAGTTAGGAGAGCGTGTTGCCCAGCACGTGCTCACCATTGCTCAGGCATCTGGAGAGCCTCCGCGTGGTCAACGACGTGCCGGTGTTGCAGGCCGTGCGATGCAGCTCGCAGTGATTGGCGTACACCCTGCCGTTGCTGGCACAGACCGGTCGATGCTTCCGCGCGCATCTCCGAACGCAAACGCACACGGCCTCGACGGTCCCGCCGTACGCCGTAACCTGGCACTCTTTGCCCGCGCCGCAATACTTCTCCAGGCACGGATTGCCATCTGAAAGGAAAGTATCGTACCCTCGCCCGTTATCCCGTAAAATATGTTGCGTATCGGTTGCAACGCAACGCGCCAGAGCCGAGCGTTCTCCAGCCGTGTGCGCGCACGTACCGAAAAGACGCGATTGATGACTGGTTCTTATAGAAGCGGAAAAGCGGAATACTCACGCCCGCGCCCATGCATTCACGATAAAATTGCCGATCATCCTCGGTAATGCGCTTCCACCGCGATAAATCACCCGGCGCAATCGTTCAGTCGTACCTTTTGCAATGATACCGCCCCTGAATGCCGCGTCATTCATTTCGGATTATTCGTACTAAACATTTTGAATGTGCTAAACCATTCTGCTGATTTACGCGGGCGCAGACAGTCGTTCCTTTTCTCCTCGCCAGGTTATTGGCACGTATTGTCGCTTATAAAACATGGGTAATATCCCAAGTACTCCAGTGCTCTATACGTCCGAGTATTCAAATTCGTAAGTACTGCCCGAGTACTATCCGAAGTAGTTGAGTAACCGGGCATACGTACTTAAGAGCTGCAAGTAATACTTATCGCTGTTTATAATGTATTAAAGATAGTACGATGAGATTATGTAAAGTATAATATATTAAAAACAGTACGTTTATAATATATTAAAAACAGTACGAGTATTCAGATAATTTGCATAGTACCCGTTTACTTGGGAAATACCCGAAAGACTCAGATGTCCGACTAACAAAGATCAAGAACACAATATTCTAATAATCAATTATGATATCACTATAACCCCAGTAATGTTTATCATCCAGTATCAGGACTTCCAAATTCTTCCAAATACTCAACTTTATAGATACTACTCGAGTACTGCCCGAGCTCGTGAAGCAAAAGTAGGTAAATATGCAATATAACGCATCTTGGATTTTTTTAAACTTTGTAAACTTGTATATGTTAACACGTAGAATTGATTTCTAAAAGCAAAAATTGTCGCTCATTTTTCGTTTTATTGTTTTCTTATTTTAATGTTTTATGATGTCGGTATAAAACTTTCTAACTTTGTGTCAATGTGTCTAATTATTTAAAAATAATTAAAAAATTTAAATTAATTAAATTAAAGTTTTATAAAATAGTATATACCAGGTATGTAAATATGAAACCGGAATTTTTGTATAGAAAATACACGTTTATTGTATGAAAATGATAAAAAATATTTTATTCGAAGTATTGCCCATCGCTAGTTATACATTTTTCCCACCTGTCTGATTTTTCCCCCCAATTTGTGGATGCCACGCCAAAAAAACTGTTGCTCTTTTGAGGCAAACCAGTCATCGAGCCATTTTCGTACATTTTCGTAAGAAGTGAAGCGCTGCTTAGCAAGTGCGTGTCCCATCGATGCAAATAAATAGTAATCGGACGGAGCCAAGTCTGGTGAGTAAGCCGCATGCGAAAGTATTTCCCAACTAAACGCCTCAATCGTTTCCTTGACCAGTTTTGCTGTGTGTGATGGTGCATTATCATGAAGCAAAATCACTTTGTGTTGCCTTTTTTAATATTCTGGTCGTTTTTCACGCAAAGCTTGATTCAAATCGATCATTTTTTGCCGGTAGCGTTCAGTATTAACGGTTTGGCTAGGTTTTAGCAGCTCATAATAGATCACACCCTTCTGATCCCACCAAACACAGAGCATTGTCTTCCGTCCATAGCGATTTGGCCTTGCAGTCGATGTCGATGGTTCGCCTGGAGTTACCCATGATCTTTTACGCTTAGGATTCTCAAAATATATCCACTTTTCATCGCCAGTCACAATTCGATGGAGAAATGACTTTCTTTTGTACCTGGCGAGCAGCATTTCGCAAGTGGTTTTTCGGTTTTCCTGCTGTCTTTCATTCAGTTCATGTGGAACCCATTTTCCCATCTTCTGGATCTTTCCCATGGCTTTCAAACGTATGGAGACGGCTTCTCGTGTCACATTTAATTGATCCGCGAGTTGTTGTTGCGTTTGAGTGTCATCCTCATCCAACAATGCTTGCAATTCGCTGTCTTCAAACTTTTTCGGTGGTCTTCCACGTTCTTCGTTTCTCACGTCAAAATCGCCACTTTTGAATTTTTTAAACCACTCAAAACACTATGATTTACCAAGAGCATGCTCACCGTAAGCTTCGACAAGCATTCGATGCGATTCTGCAGCAGTTTTCTTCAAATGGTAAATCAATGCTGTCCGCAAATTGTAGTTTCCAGGCACAAAATTCGACATGTTCAACGCTATTACAAACTATGTTGTTGTATGAAACTTGTATTGTTGTGAGTTGAAAATCTTTGTCAGAGATGTCAACAAGGAAATGGCGCCAATGACGCGGTTTGACGGTAACTACATTGACAGTTAGGGCCATCTATGGGCAAATTCCGGTTTACAGACCTGGTACATATGTTTACAGACTGGTTACATATTTACAGACCTGGTATGATTAAAGCAGAGAAAAGCATGCATGAACTATTCTCTGCTATATAACAGAGTTTATGCTTTTAATTAAACCCAAACAGCACAAGATCTCTGGAGGATGTCCTGAGGACGTTCTCAAGATGTAGGAACATTCTGAGGATGGTTTTAGGATATCCTGTGAAGATATGTGCTGTCTAAGTTTAATCAAAAGCATAAAATCTGTTATAAAGCAGAGAATAGTTCATGCATGCTTTCCTCTGCTTTAATCATATACTATTTTATAAAACTTAAATAATTAGACACGTTGTTAGAAAGTCTTATAATGAAAGTTATCACTTTCCCACTCTCTTTCATCATAAAACATTAAAATAAAAGAAACAAGAAAACAAAAAGTGAGCGACAATTTTCGTTTTCAGAGATCAATTCTACGTCCTAAAATATACAAATTTACAAAGTTTGAAAAAAATTCAAGATGAGATGCGTTATACTGCATATTTACCCAAAAGGATAACAGTTATCTACCATTTAAAGTATATTAACCCAGGAGCTGCTATGAAATATACTAGGTTGTAAAAAATGCGGATAGTTCGTACATACATACGCACGCCAGGCATTCATTCTGCTTGTTACGCCACATCGCGCCGTCCTTCTTTTATTTGCGTCGACGATGCGACGCGAGCATTTGTCGCAGTTTCACTATGTGCGCCTCTTTTTATGTCATAGCAATTTTATTGATCGTGGGATTGGTGTTTTACGGAATTTTGGTGGTGTACGAGCTGGTTTAACAACGGTACAATGCGCATGAGGCAAACGCGGTAAACGCGGTAAACGCGTAATACGTGTAAAGCGACCGTAGCGAGTTGCGGCCGGAGGTACAGTTTGATTAAACTTCCCGAATCGCACAGCGATGTACAAATTACTAATTAACATGTACGTAGAGACGGGATTCAATGGTTACTCACTCTCGTGGACGTGCCAGTTCCCCGAGTCTATGGATGCATCATCTATCGAAGCTGGAGTTGTGAACAAAGCTTCTCCTGTGCTGGTCGACGCGCCGTCGTCATCTTTTGCCGTAAAGTAACGATGCCTCGAGCGCTGAGGACAACGAATATTAAAACGTCAAAGATATTGTATCAGCCGAGTGACATTTTCAGTCATAAAGGATCTTGCGATATTTTGATACGCTCGTAAATTATCATTTCCTTGATGAAGAAAAGATCTTTAATGGATTTCCTTGAGGAAATTGAGATCGCGATTATAGCAAATAGTGCTGTCAGTAGAAACTAGGTAATTTCTATAACCGGAGATTTCTAGGTATCTGATCGACATTCATGATCACAAGAATTACCTAACATAACCCAACATTCTAATGCTTGAGTACTGAAAACCGAGAATTGCCAGCGATACTCAGGTAATAATATCTATGTGCTGTTTGATTTTTGTAGATGTTGGTATTCGCTGCATTCAAAAAAAAGCTGCTTTGCACTCTTTTTAACATTCGTGAATCTAACTGATGTATATTATTATCGCAGCTGAATCTAAGAGCATATAATCGAGCTCATATAATAACAGGCTCATAAATTTTACAACAATTGCGAATTTCTCTGCTGAACGTGGTCGTTGCCTCAGTTAATTTGATTTCACTTTCCAAAGAGTCATTAGACGACTAGAAATTTATCCCATAGGCCTGATTAAGTTGATTCCAATCAGTTATATGGTTTATATAAGGTATGCTCTCATAAATCAGATAACGCAGCATGACAATCAAGATGTTATCAATAATTAAGACTTTATTAATAATTATAATCCCCGATAACACCATCTGATACAAATCAGATAATTGAGATGGGATAATTGAAATCAACCTGATCAGGCTTATGGGATAACTTTCTGGTCGGGTTATGCATCCTAATCGCAATATTCGAGTGTCTGAGTATTCTTCGCAATAACTACTCAGGTACACAAGACATATCCAAAGGATCCGGGTCATATCTGAATATCTATGCACAGTTATTGACACCGCTGTATTCGCGAAGTCGCGTTGGCTTTTTCGCTGGATGCCGATGATACGCGACGCTTCCTCCAATATGAGAGAGGCCCCCTTCGTTGCTGATCCCGCTCACACCCTCATTATTCGTCGTCGACAATCCGAAGCGCTTCGAGTCGCCGGAAGTTGACCGTGTGTTCGAGGAAACGGGGGTGGTTACGCGAGCTTGTCGGTTCCCGAAACGAGGTCAGAGTTATGTGCGCCGACCCTTCATCGACCCTGCCTGGTGCAGTGACGGTATCGCTCGGGTGAATGTAGCACGGTGTCAATGTAAACAGATAAACAGGCGTGGATTACGCCAGCTAACGGCCATTATCGGAGTTGCGCGAGAAATCCGCTTCTTGGAGCAAAGCCAAGAAGATCCGTCGTGAAGAGAGCGCTCATCTCGCGGTCGTCAACTCCCAGACGAAGGTTTACGTGGGTAATAATGTTCATGAGAGAAAGAGAGAGGAAGAGGGTGAGGGAGGGAGAGAGAGAAAGAGAAAGAGTTAGCCGGAAAGATTCGTAGAAAATATAAGAAGAAATATATACGTATAAACGGAGGATATAAATTGCACCATAAACTCGACACGGATGCTAGAAGCTTTGCTAGAGAAATTCTAGTTTTAGTTGTATGTATCTTCTGTTGTATGTATCTAGTTTTAGTTGTATATATCTTCTCTAATTTCTGTTATGTCAAATTTTAAGTGTAACATCTCAGAATAACGTGTGTATTTGTTTTTTTTTTTAATATTTATCTTTCTCACATCTCATATAATTTTTATTAAAAAACAATTCCGCCACATATAATAGACAAGAATTTATTATAATTCGAAATTTTCCTGCGAAATCACAGGGAAATTAATAAAAACTAATTGCAGTAAGTAACTTTTAAGTTCGAACATGGTAAGAGGAAAATTCTTGTTAACCATTTAATTATTACGCAGCTCCAAGAATCACTGAATCTTCTTTTCCCTTTTTTTACTTTAATTCGTGGCTTAGTTGAGGCCTTTTATAGCAATCAAATTGTAAAAATTTGTCTTGGATATTAACATAATAATATTGTCTTAAAGATCAATAAACAATTCCTTTTAAGAAATCAAGTGATAGAACAAAAAATATTTTAATAAAGATGCACGCATCAATTTGATGTCGCTAATAATGCTTTCAATGCGAGATTACATCGGCGCTTAAATGGTTAGGAACACATACAAGTATAATAGCAATTACCTTGTAACGAAGTATATCAGAACCGAGTGTAGGCGATATATAGCTCGAGACGATCGAAAGCAACAGGAAATAGAAGGCTGCGAGGCAAGGCTTTAGTCGCATCTGAAAATATATCAGAAATCATATAAAGTCGCTGTCAGATCCATTCTTTCATATTGTCTATTTCTATCGCTGCTATTTTTCTTTTGGAAGTGAGTATATAGGAAACTAATAATGAGGATGATCTAGCAAAAATATTATATGAAAAGTTATAATACTTATAATACATGTAGACACACGATTATTATTAGTATTATTACACACTTTTTTATTTTCGTTTATGGGACACGTAATAATAAACAGTTTTCTTTATATTAATTTTATTTAATTCGTACTTTTCGTGACATTTAGCGTGAAGACACATATTTGCTCTTCAAGTTTCAAATTTTTCATACTTGAGTTGAACAATATCGTAATATACAAAGAATTGCGAGATACTTATATATCAATTTTGTAAAATACGCTTATTCATTTAGTTTGGATCAGGAGAAACTTCGTATCCTGCCAGAAGTGGCATTTTCCAGCTTGTCAGAAATCCGATTCCATTTAATACCGAAAAGGACTCGTACTTTCTCCAATTATCTAACCGTTGTTTGTAATTTATGTCCTCCTAATCCAGTCGGGCTACTAGACCTTCCGGTTATCAACCCTGGAAAGAAAAGGGAGGAAATCGCTGCGGTTCTGTATGTCTGAAAATTTACAGTGGTATATTCCGGGGACGTTTACACGGTAGAGGTTGGCCCGTCTTAAATCTCCCAGCCAACTTCGAACGTGGTTCGTCTATATTTTATACTCGCCCACACGGCACTCGGAAATTTACCGTAAGAGTGGCGTTTGTATACGAAATGTAAGATATTGTGCGAATGCGCGCGATTCTCGCGAAAATACATCGACTTCGACGCAAAGTGTAGTTTACAGTACAATTGGTTTTATAACGTTCGAATAGAAAGAAGTAACAGTCGTGTCACGGCTACAGGACGAGATATCCTTAACAAGCGATAGGACTAGGGGGCGGAGAGTGTTTTATCATTTCCTCAGATAACGACAACACACGACTCTCTTACGGTACACTAAACACATCGTAATAATATTTATATGAAATTAGTGTTGCTTGAGATGTCTTTCTCACTTCATCACCGAAAGGATAAACACCAACCGTCCCGAATTTGCTGAGTCCGATGTGTTAAGACAGATGTAAGGCAAAAAGTGTCAAAGTCTCTAGGCGTGTTTGCGAACCACTGCTGTTGGCCTTTGAACGATCGCTGATGGTAGAATACCGTTGTGTAGTCTTTTTAGGAGGGTCATCCGGCTTGCCTTGGTTTGGTGAGCAGTTGGGTAGCAGCGTAGGGTCGTTCCAACAATACAAAGGGCGTCTTAGTTCTCCTTTGAACCTGGCTTGGTGCGCACGTCTTCCTCCGCGCGGCTCCAAAAAAACGAACGTCAAACGGATTGTATAATATTTCGAGTGAATCTTCGAGTCCCCCTAGTGCTTCAAGATTTTGTGTATTGTGACAATTACACGTCATAAGTCGTTTACCGTCAGTCCCTCAAGGTGAATATGACCAGACATACGAACGTATCGTTCGTCACTTTCAAATTCTGCCTCTCAAATCTTCCTTGAGTTCTTAGATTTTGCACGTTGCGATAATTACTGCCATAAGCCGTTCAGCCTACTAAATAACCATCATTCCTCTATGAATACGATAATGTCTCGAGATTAATATCTCCAGATTTATTGCGAATATCACAAAACGGTACTTTCATGTTCGTCTTAATCCGTTCTACGTTCCCACAAAGAGACGAATGTGGGATAGAAAGTATCCAAAGTGTCTGACACATACATTGCAGGTAGAACTCATCAAACTAAACTACAAAATTCCTGTACCATTTCGCAAATAACTACGTAAAATTTTGAGTTATTAACCTTTATTGTGCACACGTCAGTAGAATCACATAATGGGCATACTGGGGTCTTTCGCGACCCCAGCTACAAAAATATTTGCTACAATAAAATTCGCTTTTTTTATTTGAAAAAATTCCAAGATGTATTTCAAACATCTTTTTATATGGCGGAATAATTTTTCTAGACGAAGTTTAATTCTAAATAAAGAAAAAAAATTGGAAAGCTCAAAAAACGCGAAAAATGACTTGATTTGCTCAAAAAATCATAACTGACACAATTTTTTATAAGATAATTTTTTTATAATTTTAAGATAAAATTTTAAGAAACCACTCTCAAGACATATCTCTTTAAAAAAAAAAATTAGTGCAATAGCAGGATTTTCAAAAGGTATTTATTTTAAATATCGAAATTAGGATTTTTGTGAAAAAAAGCAAACAGTTTTTCCAAAATATATAAATTTATTTTATATTTTATTTTATTTTTTATTTTATTTTATAGATTTACTTTATTTTTTTCTGCCGTCTATTTGACCCCACAGTGCCCACAATAAGGGTTAATTAAAGAAGTTTGATATATTATTGTGATACACATTATGCACTACAACTCATCTATCACATCGCACGTGATCATTAACCATTTTGTTTTTAATTAATATTTCAAGATTTATTGCGAATTAATCGCAAAACGACATGGGACTTTTATGTTCACCTCAATTCTACGTAACATTACGAATCTGGAGCACCCTGTGTATATATATTGTATTGTATTAGAAAAGATGTCTATCTTCCTGAAGTTTGATGATCGTTCGGTCGCAGGTCTCGGAAGTCGGGGTGCTTACGCATTAATCTTTGAAGAGTCTCAGCTGAAGTGGTACGATGAGTCGTTTATTCATCGGTTGCATTGTGCTACTTAGCGTTCACGATCAGTTGTCCATCTCGGCTCTGCCATCCTTACGAAATGAAGACTTTGCCGACACGTCCACTGACAGGAATTCGAACGGTGCGCAGGACGCGTCTACCAGCGTCAATAATCCAGAATCCGGCTGTCCGTGCTTGACATCGGTCAATAGCACGGCGATCCCCGGACAATCGGTCTGGTTGACGCAGAAGCAGCAGCATCTCGAGCAATTCTACATCCAGAAAGACATGGTAGCAAACGGCATAATGTGCACATGCAACATGGGTCTGCGCAGCCAGATGAGGGACGATTATTATTTCACGCCGAATGTTGGCGCGCACAAGCTGCACACGAGAGCCGTCACGTGGAACGAAGCGAGGAAGGTCTGTAACGAGGAAGGGGGTCACCTTGCGATCATTAATTCCGTTCACGAGGCGAGCGTAAGTATAGCCGGGTATTGATGCTCGCGTAAGACGTCCTAGATTCCGCCTCCATATCTTGTTTTGATCTGCACAATATCCCATTCACTTCCGAATGTAAATAGATAATAACGACCCGAACAATCAATCGAAGCTATTTATAAGCTTTCTAATAGGTTAGCTAACTACATATAAAAATCGAGATTGTAAGGATCCGTTCCGTCAGCAAGCAATGCAGCAAGATGATGCATTCCGTTACTCTTCTTTCAGGTATTACTAGATATATTCAACCGGTCGGGGCCCATTAAAGGCGCGGTATATCCCAATGAAGCCTTGCTAGGCATACATGACCTTTACAAGGAAGGTGAATGGGTCACGGTGCTGGGAGATTCACTAGCGAAAACCGGTTATACCAGGTGGAGCGACAAGTGGGGTGGGCAACCCGACAACGGAGGTGGCACACAACACTGTGGCGCTTTAATGAAAGAGGGTGGCATGGACGACGTCTCGTGCGATGTGCCGTTTCCATTTCTCTGCGAATTGTCGGTGCAAGTTCTACACTGAGAACAAAGTCTCCGCGTATCTCCGCGTCAAGGATTTACAACTGCATCGACGACAGAGCGATGCGAGCCGATCGAGCGAGTGATATTAATGGTCTCAAATCACCTACGAAATAGAGGAGCGCGCGGAAAATGGGCAAGCGAGGAGGGACAGCGGATGGGGGGGG